ACGTGCCCAGTTTGTGCGTCGTGGATAACGGCGTGTCAGCCGGCTTACAACCCAACAGACCGGCCTCCTGTAAAATCTCCAGTGCATATTTTCGCTGACACAAAACCATACCCGATGCAGAACGGGCACATTCAATCCCCAAAAAATATTTGACCGGACCCAAATCTTTGAGCTGGAAACACCTGTCCAAATATTGTTTAAAAGAGGTGCATAAAGAGGGATTATTGCCTGCAACCAAAATATCATCAACATATACTAAGACCGTAAGGATATCTGGGCCCTTATGAAGAATAAACAGAGTATGATCCTTATGAGCCTGTTTAAACCCCCACTGACGAAGGGCAGTGCTAAGTTTATGGAACCAATTACGTGGAGATTGACGAAGCCCATATAAAGATTTCCGAAGACGACAAACCTTGCCGGGGATAGAAAAACCAGGAGGCATTCGCATATACACCTCGTCGACCAAATCACCATTTAAAAATGCATTATTAACATCCAACTGATGAATCTCCCAACCGCGTGCAACAACCACAGATAATAAAATACGTTTCGTACCCATCTTTGCTACGGGAGAAAAAGTATATGTGCAATCTCGACCAAACTCCTGATGATTCCCTAAAACAACCAGGTGAGCTTTATCACGCTCCTTTGTTCCATCCGAGTGAAACTTGGTACGGTAAATCCACTGACACCCAAGAGCCGTCCGATCGGGGGGAAGTTCAGTAACTTCCCATGTGTGATTATTTTCCAACGCAGTAATCTCCTGTTGCATAGCCTTCCTCCAATTATCATATTGCATGGCCTGTTTGAAAGATGTTGGAACCTCACACGAAGTCACAGCAGCCAAATATCCCCGGTACCTGTTATGTAATTTCTCATAATGAACAAAATTGTGGATAGGATATCGTGTACCTGAAGATTTAGACGAGACAATGTGAGGAACAATGGGAGTAGACGTCCGGACAGTATGACAGTAGTAATCGGACAACCGTGCAGGAGGTCGCCGATCACGAATGGGACGAACAGGCGACGGCGGACTGTCCGGGTCAGACTCGCCGTCGCTATGGGAATGAGGAGAAGACTGCCCGGAGGATGACGAGGACGCCGGAGGGATCGGTGAAACGGCAGGACTGGGTTCGGCAGGGGATGCGGTGGTCGGGAAATCGGCGTGGGTAGTGGATTCGACAACGGGAGGCGTGGGTGATTTAGAAGATAACGCAAACGGGAAAACCGTTTCGTCAAACGAAACATCCCGGCTATAGAAAAACCGATGGGATTCAAGGTCATATACATGCCAACCCTTAGTCCCCGTAGGATATCCCACAAACATACATTTAAGACTACGGGGTTGAAATTTATTTTGCGGACAAGGGTTGAGACGTACATAACATAAACACCCAAATACCCTTAAAAGAGACAAGTCTGGAGGTTTTGAAGAAAGGAGTTCAAATGGTGATTTTCCCTGAAGAAGAAGGGTGGGGGTACGATTAATAAGATACACAGCAGTACGCACACATTCACCCCAAAATTCAATGGGTAAAGAAGCCTGAAACATTAGAGAGCGTGCGACGTTAAGAATATGTCTGTGTTTGCGTTCCACACGCCCATTTTGTTGTGGGGTGTTAACGCATGAGGTTTGAACAAGTACCCCCATGGGCACGTCGTTAATTAGCAGCACACAAAAAAAGGAACAATTAAAGGCATAAACCAACCGCGCACGATCAGGTCTTCCGTTTAAGAGGAGGATACTGTTCGGCGAACACATAGGGAACACGGCGTCAGACGATCGCACACACGCCGGAGAGCAGAAACACGCGTAACGACGTAAGCCTAGGGTTTAGGCTCCGATACCATGTAAAATTTAGAGTAAAACTGATCTGGTTTTACTAATCACAAGCAAGTGTATATATACAAGTACAAGCGGGCTTAGGGTTACAAGTGGGCCCGATAAACTAATTACAGTCCAAAATTACAAATACCCGCTAACATATCATATTTTACTTTTACCTATCTTTAGAAGAGTAATTTAGGAAAGTCAACATAAAATATTCCAATATTAAATCACATAAAAATCAAAATTAGAAGTATTTTAAGGGACCAAGGGAATAGTGATTAACTAAATGCTTATCTATCACTTTTTCCAATAATAACTACATTTTACATTTCACAATTTTCAATATCACACTTTGACTATATTAATATATATCTTTATACTCCTTTTTCAGAACTTATTATACCCTTTTTTTAATACCTTAGTTTTAAGAAATGAATTTAAAATGTCAAATAAATTATTCAAATGTGTAGTTAAGTCACTCATATATATCAACAATGCATATACCCTATCTCTAGTACTATGTATATTTTACACTATTTAATACTCTCTCCGACCCGCAAAAAAACTTTTCATTTTGATTTTTAATGAATTAAAGAGAAGTGTATTTTGGTATTTACTTTTCAAAAATGCCATTTAATGTAATGGATAAAGTAGGATATAATGGGTAGAAAAAGTATGATGTGATAGGTAGATAATGGTGGATACGGTATCGGTATGGTACCGTGACCGGCAACGGTACCGCCGGTACTCGCCACCGTCACCGTCGGCCGAGACGTCCCACCGGTTCCAGGAACCGGTACCGGCACCGCCCCCCTCGGTACCGGTTCCGGTACCCATTTTTCGGTACTGGCACCGGCGGTACCGATATCGATTCCGGTACCGTTTTCTTTTTTTTATTTCTCCAAACATGCAACGGCCCATGTGGGGTCCACAGCTGCAAAAACCTTCAAAAAAATGAAGAAAAAGTTAGTGGGGGTGGGGGAACCTTAACGGCTATTTATCCGTTTGAGGT